AAGTGAAAGCTTTTTCTGGAACCGCCATCTTATACTTGTTATATTGTGACCACCCGTCTGGAGGGCAGTTAGTGACCAGATTTGTCAGTCTGATCTCTTCTGACAGACCCAGCCCTTCCCCACTGGTGTCTTGTTTGGAAACAAAGTGGGACACGCAAACCTCTCCTTTGAGCCATTATCATTTCTTGTTGGGGCGCCTGGGTGGCTCAGTCAGTTATGCATCCAAACTTTGGCTCAGGTCATGATCTCCCTGTTTGTGGGTTCAAGCCCTGCATTGAGGTCTGTGCTGACAGCTCAGAGCCTGGAGGGGGCTTCAGACTCTAGGTCTCCCTCTCTCTCTGCCCCTCCCCTGCTGTGCTCTGTGTCTCTGTCTCAAAAATAAACATTAAAACAAAAAAAAATTTTTTTTTAATTTCTTGTTTGGGCAGCCAGGCTTTCTGTGTCTGGACCCTAGCACCTCCTGAATCTTTGATGAGTGGAAATGGAGATAAAGCAGAATGTCTCAAGCTGCCAGAAATGTGGCTTTGGGATGGCCTCTGTCTTGGTTCTGGAAGGATCTGTTGGTCATACAGATGGACGTCATCGTCCTTGGGTGAGCCCCAGATGTTGGCGAGCTAATCCAAAAGCAAATAACTCAGGCGGGGATATTAAGAGTTCTGTTTACAGAGCAATAAAAATATTCCCAAAGCCATACACTCAACCAAGCACAAGTTGGCGGTTGAAATGAGCAAATATTTTTAATCAGAGATATATTTCCGCACGCCCACCCTCTTCCCCCTTCCTACCACACTCATCTCCCCTGCCTTGGGGTAGGGCTGTGTCAGGTTTTGCAGGGCGTCTGACCCTGTCTGGTTGCATCCTCACTTGAAGCACATCCTCAACTCTGTTCCCCAACCCAGGTGGTGGGGAGACTCATCCCTAGACTCTGGTGTGAGTTTGCTGGGAGTCTCACCTTCCCTGGCCCGTCTGTCTCTACCCCTGAACTGGGCGCCTTGACAAGTTCATGTCTCCATTTTGCCCAACCTTGGCTCCATCGGTCCCTCCCTTTCGCCTTCCTTCTGACCCTGGGGGCAAGCTCTTCCCTACATCCTTGCAGGTGGAGAAATGCTGAAAGCCAGCTCTCCCTCTGCTTGGAGCTCTAAGTTAGCAAGGGACATGTCTGGCTTTCTGCAGCCCATTGGGGGCCGTCCTTTTGGGAAAAGCCATAGCCTATGGTGGGCTGGGGAGGAAGGGCGTTCTTCCTTTGGGCTGTGTGCTGAAGTTATAATAAGTTGCTGAGGTTTTTGTGGCTACCTATAATCCATCCATTCATTCACACTCACATCTTGAGGCCCTGTTACATGCAGGGCCCGGTGCTAGAGGCTGGGGCACAGACACAAATAACTAGCAGGCTCTGCCCTGGGGGAGCTCACAGCCTGGTGGGGCAGGTGGCCAGCAGAGTTGATATTGATGGAGCAGTGTAACAGGTGACACCAGACATTGTGCAGGAGGCTGTGAAGCTCAGAAGATAGGCCACCAACTTTGCCCAAGGAGGGTGGAGAAGCCTTCAAGGAAAGTATGTCCTTTGAGCTGTGCCTTGAAGGAGGAAGCGGATAAAAGAAGAAATGTTTACATAGACTCTAGACCCCATGGTCTCAGGCTCCTTGGAAGACCTGGAATTTCACTTTTTCCTCCCTATTACATTTTAGTGCTAAAAGGGATGATTTTTCAGAAGGAGAGATGGCCCCTGGGGGTGGCGGGTGGGATGGAGCTGTGGAGGGTTGCCTCGGTGTCCCCCATCTAGATGTCCCACATCTCCTAGGCCCTGCAGCACATATGGGCCTTTGTACGGATTGAAAACTGGTGTCTCATCAGAGCAGATGAGTTACAGAAAGGTGCCATTCCTCATCGCAGTGTCTTCCTTCAGACCCCATTCCTGCTTGGCAATGGGCCTTTCTTGTACGGAAAACAATCTGTGTGTGCGCGAACACACACGGTGCTCTGTGAACTTGGCTTTTGATGGAGGGCTCTCTTCTCTCTAAGACCTTGGTAACCCTGTAGACGTTGGGCAGTGACTGCCTGATATTTATGAGGCTTGCCTCTTGGCCGCTTCTCTCTCAGACTTAAGGCTGTTTAGGAGAAAAGTAAGCACATAATTCCTCCATCTTTGGGATATTGGCTTGATTATTTATTTAAAACTTTTAAAATTTTTACTTATTTATTTTTGAGAGAGAGAGAACACAAATGGGGAGGGGCAGAGAGAAAGGGAGACAAGATCTGAAGCGGGCTCCACACAGACAGCAGCCCCTGATGTGGGGCTCGAACCCACAAACTGTGAGATCGTGACCTGAGCCGAAATCAAGAGTCGAACACAACTGATGGAACCACCCAGGCATCCCTAAACATTTTTTTAATGTTTATTTATTTTTGTGAGAGAGATTGAGTGAGCAGAGGAGGGACAGAGAGAAAGGGAGACACAGAATCCAAAGCAGGCTCCAGGCTCTGGGCTGTCAGCACAGAGCCCAACACTGCGTGTGAACCCACAAACCGCAAGATCATGACCTGAGCTGAAGTTGGATGCTTAACCGACTAAGCCACCCAGGCACCCCTTGATTATTTATTCTTAAAGAAACATTGTAAATGTTTCCCTTCTACTCTTTTAGAAGTACAAATCCAGTAGTCTCCCCTTCCCCACACCCCTTATCCAAGGGAACATGTTCCAAGATCCCCCGTGGATGCCTGAAACCGCGGAGTAGTGCTAAAGCTTATATATATACTATGTTTTTTCCTATACACATCTAACCTATGATAAAGTTAATTTCTAAGTTAATGACAGTGAGAGATTAACAACAACTAGTAATAAAATAGAGCAATTGTAACAATGTAATGTCATAAAAGTTATATGAATGTGGCCTCTCTCAAAATATCTTATTGTACTATACTCACCCTCCTTCTTGTGAGGCTGTGAGGTGATAAAATGCCTGTGTGATGAGATGAAGTGGGTTTGAGCCCCACGTCGGGCTCTGTGCTGGCAGCTCAGAGCCTGGAGCCTGCTTTGGATTCTGTGTCTCCCTCTTTCTCTGCCCCTTCCCCTATCCCTGCTCTCTCTCTCTCTCAAAAATAAATAAACATTAAAAAAGGAAAACAAAAGAAACCCTGAACCACGGTGTGCTGGAGACCCTTGTGCAGAGTCACAAGAGCAGAGTGGCCACATCTCTTCCCAATTCTGTGTTCAATGACGCCAAACTGGTAGCGCGGAATCAGCATGGGAAGTATTTGCACCATAGAAAGCAGCAAATGCTGCAAGTCAGGACTCCTTCATTGCAGAGAATGTTTCCAGGACATTCTGCAGTTGGGAATGTTTCAGGGGCTGAGGGGTCCATAATTTCTCTGCTGCAGAGCAGTGTGGGGTCATAGAAAGACAGTGTGTTTTAGCACCAGACAAACTGGGGGTTCAATCCTGGGTTGAGTAGGAGACATTGATTCCAAGATTGGGATAAACAAATTATAAAAACGTAGATGAGATGTTCTTTCAGGCAGCAGATGCTCCCCTGGATTCTTTATTCAGGAGGGGGTGGGGAGGGTAGGACACCCAGCCATTGCACAGGATGCTGAGAGCTGAGATGCTCAACTGAGAGAGAAACATATATCCTTGCCTGCTCTGGGTTTCTAGTAACAAAAACCCAGCTCAAACTAGCTTAAGTGGAAAAGGGGATATGAAATAGCGCAAAGAACCAAAGAAAGAATTGATAGCCAGGGGGACAGGGGATAGGGCAGGTCCTGGGACACCAGAGCCTGGAAAGCCCCCAGTACTTCCTGCTTCATGGGACCTGTGGTCATTCACGGACTCGGAGCGTGCATTTTTCTCAGCTTCATTACTAGAAAGTAAAGGGTCTTTTGGTTCTAGTTGAACAGTCCCAGGGAAGGTCTCTGATTGGCCAGCTTGTATCTGATGCCCAGCCCTGGACCAATCACTGTGTAGCCAGGGAGGCAGGGTCTTGGAGGAAGATGGTAGCTTCAGGGCAGACCAAACGCTATGCAGTCCCTTCTCCTTATAGGGAAACTCATTCACAAAGCTCACCGGCTACCTGGCTGCCTTTCAGAGCCTCAGGAAATCACCCCCAAGTCATGGTTCTTGGGTGCGTGAGGGGATGTGGTGGGAAACATCACAGATTGTCACAATCACAGATTGTCATTTCAGGAGAAGTCAGTTCATCTACAGTTCCACTTTTGTCCCCACGAGGGTGTTGTGGCAGGTGTTTCTTCTTTCCAACATCACAGATGAGACACTGAGGCCCTAAGAAGGGGAGCAGAATCGGAATCAGAACTCAAGCCTCTTGACTCTGATGTCCTGTAGGGGGTTCCTGCCAGGACTGAGGCAGGACATAAGCCAAGCCCCAGACCCCGAACCTCGCTCTGACTTCCATCCAGGAGAGGACAGTTTCTCCAAGTTCGGCCTGTGCATCTGCAGGTGTTTGCAGAGAGCTGGCTGTGGGTCAGGTTCAGGACCAGATGCTCACAGCCTAACGGCCCCACCCTCCAAATAGACCCTAATGACCACACAATATGGTGGGTGCAGTGGGAGCTGGGTACCTGGCCTGAAGGGAGAAGAGGAGGCAGCTGGCTAAGGAAGGCTGCTCTAAGCAAGTGGCCCTGAGCTGGATCTGGAAGGTTGAGCTAGACCAGGAGAGAAGGGATGGAAGAACATTATGGACCAAGGGAACAGCAGCTGTGAAGGCACAGAGCCATGCAGCAGCATGGGAGCTCCTAGGTCCTGACCTCAGCAGTGGCCGGGCCTCTGCGTTGAGCAGTTTAACCTTCTTACCATACAAAGCTCCCCTCTCAGAGTCAATTCTTGTCTTCCAGTCTCCCTGCAGCCTCAACGTCATTGTCCCAGGTTGATGAGTTTATCCCTGCCCTCAGTGGCTGCCTACTGACTCTCTGTTCCACTCGCTGCAATCTCTTGCCCCCACCGTCCGGCCAAGAGGCGCCCCCGATGACAGGCTCTGCCTCTGTTTCAGAATCTCGGCGGAGGACCATCTTCGAATACCACCGTGTGGAGCTGGACCCCAGCAAGGTCACCAGCACATCAGCTGTGGAGTTCACCCCACTGCCAAGTGAGTAGGGGTCATTCCCGCTGTCCTGCAAAGAGCATTATAGTCAAACGATCTGGGGCTCCATTGTCAGGCCCACCACTGACCCCTGGGTGGATATGGCCACCTAATTTCTCGGGGCTGCCATTTCTCGTTTGTCACCTGGGCCTGGCACTGCCACCCTCCCAGAGCTATGGAAGGGTGAGAACCACAGTAGGGAGCATTGAGGACATGAATGAATGGCAGCTCTGACACTAACTGGCACATCCCAGACCTGGGGTGTGGTTTGTACTTGACACGTGACCGCTGTTGTTACTAACACACAGTTAAACCCAGGAAAGGTATACCTCCCAGAATTTTTAGACTGAGCCCCCAGGAAAGGTAATCCAGGAACTGAATGGATCGGCCCTTAAATTTTTTGTTGCAGTTTCCTTAGAGGAGGGGTTATGGGGGTGGGGTTCACAGGCAGGAGGCAATAAAGCAATTTCTCCTGAAGCCCTTCAAGAGCCACGGCCAGGCCCTCTGCCCCCCACACCCCACTCACCCTGCACCCTACTCACCTTCACTCGAAGGCACACTGTGCCTGAGGCCCCAGCTGCTGCTGACCCCACAGGATCAGGGTTAGATGTTCTTCAGGATATGGTCAGGGAAGCTGGGGAGAGAGAGGGAGAGGACAGCTCTCCTGTTCTTGCATTTTATTTTAAAGTTTATTTATTTATTTTGGGACACCTGGGTGGCTTAGTCGGTTAAGCCATCTGACTTCGGCTCAGGTCATGATCTCATGGTTCGCGGGTTCGGGCCCTGCATTAGGCTCTGTGCTGACAGCTCAGAGCCTGGAGCCTGCTTCGGATTCTCTGTCTCCATCTCTCTCTGCCCCTCCCCTGCTTGTGCTCTGTCTCTCTCTCAAAAAATGGATAAACGTTTTTTTTTAAAAAGTTTACTTATGGGGCGCCTGGGTGGCTTAGTCGGTTAAGCGTCCGACTTTCGCTTAGGTCATGATCTCGCGGTTCGTGGGTTCGAGCCCCACATCGGGCTCTGTGCTGACTGCCAGCTCAGAGCCTGGAGCCTGCTTCAGTCTGTGACTCCCTCTCTCTCTGACCCTCCCCTGCTCACGCTGTCTCTCTCTCTCTCTCTCTCCTAGAAATAAATAAAACATTAAAAAATTTAAAAAAAAATAAAATAAAAAAAATAAAAAGTTTACTTATTTATTTTGAGAGAGACAGAGAGTATGAGTGGGGGAGGGGCAGAGAGAGAGAGAGAATCTCAAGCAGGCTGGAGTCCAACGTGGGGCTCAAACTCACAAACTGTGAGATCATGACCTGAGCCGAGATCAAGAGCCAGATGCCCAAATGCCCAGGTGCCCCCTGTTCTTGCATTTTTATTTATTTTTTTAATGTTTATTTGGGCTCAGTCGGTGTCTTCCCCTGGAAAAGAGGAAGGACACAGACACCACAGGGTCACAGGACCAGGACCACTTGCAGGTCACAGCGCCACCCAGTCCCCCCTTGAGCTCTTTCCTGGCAGGAAAGACGTGGGGCCTGAGAACCAGGGGCTCCTCAAGGACGCTGAGAGCAAACCTCAGTCCTAGCACTTGAATAAACTTCACTTAGGAGCAAGGACACCCAAGGGCAGGGTAACTGCCTGGGCGGAAGTGAACCATCCTGGGAATACGTTTCTGGGGCACTGTCTGTACATTTCAGCCACTTCTCACCCCTCCGGTGAATTTTGTGAGCATTTAATAGCACACGGGACATCTGAAATGCAGACGAGAATTAAAGGTCAGTGGGTTTTACGCATACCTCACCGAAGCTCCCGGGGTTTTTTTGACTAGAGCCTTTCAAGGGCCCTTTGGAGTTACTGGGAATGAGCAGGCAGCTACCAGGGGAGGGGGCAGCGCTACCAAGGCTGTGATTTGAACCCCTGGAAGGCTGGTTACCTTGGTCCTGAGAAAACCACGTGCCCCGGTACAAGAAGTCTCTTTTACCTTCAGGTGGAGAAGGACTTAGCCAAGATGCTTCTAGAGGTATGGATGGGTTGTCTCTAAGCCACGGTGCTCTGTGATCGTTCCAGGCAGTCCCTTGTCTGGAAGAGACACTCATGAAAACGTGGCATGGACCAAAGGGTGGGAGCGGGGGCAGGGAAACCCCCAGCGGGATCTCAAGGCCAAGAGCTCAGGCTTTTGGCTCACACAGACCTCAGTTCAAACCCAGATCTGCCACTCATAGCTCCATGGCTCTCTCTGAGCCTCTCCGTTCCCTCCTCTGTAAAATGGGGATAACAGAAGCATCAATACATCAAATTCCATAACCATTTGTAAACTGACTACCACGTGCCGGCTGCTATTCTAGAACCTCTGGATACACCAGGGAACAAAGCAGCCAGAGAGCTCTCATTCTTTTGAAAGGACACAGTGCCACCTACAGCCAGTCCCTCCCATAGTGACTGAAGGTGACCACGCTTTGCCCACAGCAGCTTTGCTCTCTCTCACCAAGGGCTGGTTGCCAGCCACCATCTTGTTGGGGGCCCATGGAAAGCAAACTGGCTCCCTAATTAATGGATTACAGTAGAGTCAAATGTGTGTGATGTTTGTTGAATGTGTGGTCAATTTTTCTGAGTTAGTTGTCACTTCTTCCTCCTATCGGTGTGTTCTGTTTGGATGCTCATCAGATGAGCCTTTCGATTATGCACAGTTATTCTGGGTGAGGGCCTGGCTTTCCTTGTCATAAAATGCACAGACTCGGGGCACCTGGGTGGCTCAGTCGGTTAAGCGTCCGACTTCGGCTCAGGTCATGATCTCACAGTCCGTGGGTTCGAGCCCCATGTTGGGCTCTGTGCTGACAGCTCAGAGCCTGGAGCCTACTTCAGATTCTGTGTTTCCCTCTCTCTCTTCCCCTGCCCCGCTCACTCTCTGTCTCTCAAAATAAAATAAAGACATTAAAAAAAATTTTTTTTTAATGCACAGGCTTCATGGCAGCTGCTTGCGACTCAGAGGTCCTTCTGGTTCACTTCGATTGCAAGCGAACATCTCTTAAAATCCAGCCCCCACACCTCCTGCCCCCCCGCCCGGCCCTCTCTGCTCCGGTGCCTGGCTGGTGCCAGAGGGGTCCCCGCAACCTCCAGCAGCCCTGCTCCCACTAACGCCTCTGCTCCCCGCCTCTGCGCTGCCCCAGGCCAGGCCCCAGCTGTCGCTCCTCCTCATTCCTATCATCCTCAGCTTGTCTGTTCTGCCCAGCCTGTTAGCGTCCCGGCCGCTGTCTAGAACCCGGTTACAACACACTCCTCCCAGGCCTCTGTGTGCAGGGGCTCTTCTGCTTGGACTCCTCCTCCTCCAGGAGAGCTGCCAGGCTTGCTTCCTGCCTTCTCCCAGCCTCTGCCTACACCACCTCTCCTCAGAGAGCCCTTTACCAACCTCCCTGACTAGAATGCATCCCCACTGTCATTCTGCCTCTCTGTCCGGTGCCACTTTTTTTCACGGCCCACTGGAAACCTATGTACACTTCATTGTCTGTGTATTTGTTTTTTAATGCTTGTTTATTTTTGAGAGAGAGAGTGGGCAGGGGGAGGGTCAGAGAGTGACAGACACACAGAACCTGAAGCAGGCTCCAGACTCTGTGCCATCAGCACAGAGCCTGACACGGGGCTCGAACTTAGGAGCCGTGAGATAATGACCTGAGCCCAAGTTGGAGGCTCAACTGACTGAGCCCCCCAGGCGCCCCCTTGTTTGTGCGTGTGTTGGCTGTCTCCTCCACTCGCCTGCAGGGTCCATGCAGGCATCTCCAGCAGCCGGGACAGTGCCCGGCCCGTGGTAGGCGCTCAGTAAATATTTGTTGAAAGAATGAATGAATGCATGCATGAGTGGATGAATACCTAGTAGGTCCACTGAGGGGAATGAATAAGACCAGAGTCAGTAACAAGCAGCATTCACAGGGCTGGCCACGTGGCCAGCACTGTGACAGACCCTCTTTGGGTATGGCCTTATTCCATACTTGCTGCAGGTCTGCCAAGCAGAGGGTACCAGGATCCCTCTTTTACAAATGAGAAACTGAGGCACAACGAGGGTGAAGTAACTTTCCAAGTAAGATGTAAACCCAAGTGAGCAGAGATAGCCACACAGCCCCCCTCGGGGAGGCCCACTTCCAAGAGGAGAGAGAGAAGAAAGGGATGGAATTAGGAATGTCTGATTTAGGGGCACGTGGGTGGCTCAGTGGGTTGAGCATCCAACCTGGGCTCAGGTCATCATCTCGCGGTTTGTGAGTTCGAGCCCCGTGTCGGGCTCAGTGCTGACAGAGCAGAGCCCGCTTGGGATTCTCCCTCTCTCTGCCTCTCCCCAACTTGCACTCGCTCTCTCTCTTTCTCAAAGTAAATAAATTATACTTAAAAAAAAAAAAAAAAGGATTGTCTGTTTACCGCCACAAACTCAGTGTTCAGACTTCCCTGGGAGGAGGCGAGTGAGGAGGCAGAGACGGACCAGGAGAAGATTCAGGCACCAATCCCTCCACATGGACCAAATACCATGAAATGAGTGCTCCCAGATAGCGCTGGATGGGGAGCAAACCACAACATCTTAAAAGCCCTTTCCTGTGGTTAGAGACAACAAAACTGTTTCATAAACATTAAACTCGCTAAGAGAAGAAACAATTGTCATGTGACGTAGCAGCGGTGGTAGCTACCGCTACAATGCCAATCATATTGCAACATGAAGGTATCAAATCTATATGTTATACACCTTAAACCTACGCAGTGTTATATGTCAAATAGATCTCAATTAAGAAAAAGAGTCATTTTCGGGGCGCCTGGGTGGCTCAGTTAAGTGTCCGACTTCGGTTCAGGTCATTATCTCACGGTTCGTGGGTTTGAGCCCCGTGTCAGGCTCTGTGCTGACAGCCTGCTCGGAGCCTGGAGCCTGCTTCGGAATCTGTGTCTCCTTCTCTCTCTGACCCTCCCCTGCTCACACTGTCTCTCTCTTGCTCAGAAAAAAAAAAAAAAAAAAAAGAGTCCTTTTTAACCCTGTAATTATGGGCCACCGCCCAGCAGTATAACTTCCCAGCCTAGGTGAGATCCCTTTGTACGTGCTTAGGGGACCCTGTAATTTTCACAAACCTCATCACGATGATAATTATGTAATTGTTTCTGCTTGATTATCTGTTTAGTGTCTGCCTCCGCATACGACTGGGAGGCCCAGGACTTTCTGCAGAATCCCTAGCACCGGCTCGGGCCTGACCCCCTGAGGTGACAGAAAGAAAGAGGCCAGGGGAAAAGGAAGGCGAGAAGGAAGAATCAGGGCTTGGACTCAAGTGAGGGTGGCACTAATGACCTCTAGGGTCCCTGCTACTTAGACTCCATAGTTCCATGAGGACCCAGCGTTTGGGAAAGTTGCGCCTTCTGGAAGTCAGCGGAGGGCCTGATGCTGAGGGTCACCTGCCTTCTCTCTTGCAGCCTGCCTGCAGCATCGGAACTGTGACGCCTGTGTGTCCTCGGAGCTGACCTTCAACTGCAGCTGGTGCCATGTCCTCCAGAGGTTTGTGCCAGGCTGACCCTCTGGCTCCCCAGGAGGACTGGAGGAGGGGCAGAGGGTGGCACGGCCCTTCCCCCCCCCCCCCCCCGCCTGGGGCCTCAGTGCCAACATGAGAGTATCGCTAGCCAGCCCACTGTGCCGCTTAGGACAAGAACGTCACAGAAGTGAGTTTGTCCCCGAGGCCCGATCAAGGTGACTGTGCGGCAGGGTTCCTGTGGTGATGCTAGATTTCTGGAAGATCATTCAGCGATTCCATCCCTGGCAGCCCCTCCTCACACTCGGAAGGGCTGGTTCATCCTAGCACAGGGCTTCTCAGAGAACGGTCCACAGCGATGAGGATCCCACAACCAGCTAGGTCTTGCGTTGAGCATGCAGATTCCTGGGACCTACCCCAGGCCCCCTGCATCAGGATCTCTGGGAGAGAAGCCCAGGAGCCTCCATGTTAACACGGTGCCTCATCTGCAAACAAGTGTGAGAGCCGCCAGCCCCAAAGACCCACTGCTATTGGAGGAGGGTCCTGTGGCCCCCCAAAACACCGCCTCAAGATCTTTCTTGGGCTGTAATGGGGTTTCCTGCGAATCAGGGGTGTGGAAATGGCAGGCATCTGTGGAAAGTTGGGGCAAGGTACAAAGCTGTGTTTGCTTGGTTTTGGCAACAGGGAAAATTCTGGATGAGATTCTGGCTGAGGAATAATGAGGGATAACTTTCTTAAATCCCACTCATCTTCCACTCCTTGTTCTGAAATCATTTCCTTGCAGATTAGACTCCAAACTTGAGCCCTGCTCTCCTGTCCAAGATCAATAAATAGCAGGAAGGGAAAAAACAAAACAAAGAATTTCTTTGGGGACCAGGGCTCTCATGAGAGTGGGAAGCCCTATGAGGCCATCTTGAAAGTGCCAAATTACAGTATCTCTGAGTTCCGTGCAGCTGTCGTGCATCCGTCAGTGTTTCCTTTCGTCCTTTCAAATAGGCCAGTGCAGAAATAGAAGCTGCCGCTTTCACAGGCAACCTGCCCAGCCCAAGACACAGCCCGGGCCAGGGGGACAGGGGCTTCTGGATGTCCTTCCAACCAGCTGTGTGCTCTTATGCACTCTCTCGGGGCCTCAGTTTGTTTTCCCGGTAAAATGGGCAGTTGTTATGTGGTTATGGGGTCCAGAGGAATGGGGGTGAGGAACATGCCATTATTTTAATTTCTCAAACGCCAGAGAGCATTTTTGCGAAGTGTTCAGGGCCCTCTACGTGAAAGGCCTAGAGCCTCAGAGAGTACGCAGGGTGGACCCCAGGCTGGGGTCTTCCTGGAGAACAGCTCTGCAGCACGATCCGTCTTGCGCACTCTCAAGTTTGGGAGCCACTGTCTTGGCGTGGAGAGATAATCCAGATGACCTGGGATGAGCCCCGGAATCCTGGGGCCACCACCACATGACTCAGCAGCCAGCAAGAGCTGAGCCCTAAGAACTTCAAAATGGGCCACACGAAAGCAAAGCCCTCCCACTGACACATCCCTGTTGAACACATACGCCCGAACCCAGAGAGTGTGACAGTTTCATGAGGGTTGGTCAGGTTAGGGGCTGGCAAGGCCTTGGGTGTGGACGCTGCCTTGGCTGTGGTTATGTCAGCTATAGGACAGAGAAGTTCCATCAGAGAGCCATCAAGGCTGATGTGGTGCTGAAATCCTGTCCCCAGCTGCCCCTCCTTGCCACCCCAGCATGGGCCCCTCCTTGCCAGCTCTCTGGAGCCTCAGCGCCAGCTGAGAGCTGACTCAGGTCCCTACAGAGCCAGAGGGCAGGGCTGGTGCCGAGGGGCCGGCCACCACGGACTCTCCCACCAACAGCTGCTTGCAATCACTGTGTGGGTTCTCAGCCTCCCCTTCCTCGCCACCCACTCTGCCTTCTGCAGCCTCCCAGAGCTGCCCCTCCTTGCACTGGGGCTGGATCTGATTTAGATAATTTCACTTACCATGGCTGGTGTCTTCCTTTCATCTCACATCACCCCTCCCCCGCCCCAAGGGCCCCCTCTGGTCTCTAAAACGACTTTAACTGCAGGATTTGGCCCAAGGAATGAGGAGTCATAATCCTTGCTTTACAGTGTCATTGTGAGGGTCCCATAAATGCTACAGGCGCAGCATATGGCTGGGGCAGCACTTGGCATTCAGGAGGCGCCCAATAGTGGCCATACCTCATGTCCTTCATCTCTGCATCTGGGTTGGTTGGTTCGGGGCCTCGAAGGTGATGCTCCTAGACTTATATCAAAGGCTCAGTCCTTGAAAGAATCAATTCGTTTGGCTTGAAAGAAACTTTCGTGGCCGCCCCCAGTAGCTCCCTAATCCTCCATGTCTCAAAGTAGTGGGCACAAAGAACCTGGGGGAGGTGCGTGGCGGGGGTGGGGTGGGGTGGGTGGGTGCTCAGTTCAGCTGTCCCTGCTGCAAGAGGTGCATCTCGGAGCCCCAGGAGGCATCGTCAGAGGGAAAGACTGACAGCTCTCGGAAATCCTCCGTCTCGCTGGGTCCCTGGCAGATGGGTGGGCGGTCGCTAGTGAAGAAAATTAACAAGCCATGGATTCTTTCTCAGCACTGGTAGCTCATGACATGATTCTTCCCGTGCGGATGTCCCAGAGCTGGAGTAGGACTAGGTGGATTCCCCCGGCACCAGAGTGAAGAATTTCCATTTGAGCATGATGCCATGGAGAACATTCTCTGGTTCATCCTCACAGCCCCACCCCTTCCCTAGAGAAGCACTTGGCATCTTCCAGCCCCGCTGAGCTGCACAGTGTCCTCTCCTGGGACACTGGTCGGCCAGTTCAGTCTTTCCTAGCCTCTGGCAGGACCTTCCTTTCTGCCCTTTAGTTATCACACGGGAGGTATTGGCTAAAGCCTGCTGAGGTCCACCTTCAGCCCAGCCTCTCTTTGCCAAGTTCAGGCCCCTCCACAAAGGAAAAGGAGCTTTGTCTGTGAATGAGTGAAACTCTCTCCAGAAGGCATTGGTGTGAATTCCCTGAATTCTTAGCAATTTCATAGCCGTCTAGAGTCTAGGCGAACTTAGAGTTCATTCGAGGTCATGCAGTCCATCGAGCTCCCTATACGCACACATCTGGGCAGACGTGGCCTTGGTCCTGGGGAGCTGGGTCAGGGAGGAGGGTGGAGATGCCACGGACACCTTCCCTTCCTTTTGGGGAAGGAGTAGTCGGGGTAGAAGGGTCTGAGTCCTGATCCCACAGCTGCCTGGTGCGGGAGAGGACACCTGCCTGGTGGTCTGGATCACCGCTGCCCTGGGAGGTTAGCCCCCTCCTCGCCATCATCGGAGAGCTGCTACTGAACAGGAGGAAATGAAGAGGAGGGCTTCTCTGTCAATCTCCTCACACCTCTTCCTTTTTGGTCCCCCTGCAGGTGCTCTAGTGGTTTTGACCGCTACCGCCAGGAGTGGCTGGCTTACGGCTGTGCCCAGGAGGTAAGAGGCTTAAGTGAGCCGGGTTGTGGGGAAGGATAGGGCTGCTAGCAGACCCCTCCCCATGTAGCTCTTCACAGGACATCTTTGGCTCCTGGCGAAATTCTCCCCTCCATCTTGGACTTGTCTCTCAGACTACTCTGAGCCAGTTAGGCCAGACTCGGGAGATTTTAGAGGGTTCTGTGGGTGCCTGAGAAAAGCCCTTCTAGAGACTTGGCCCTGTGGGGGCAGCTCTCCAGGAGTTGTTTTGGTGCTTGCGGAGGGTATGTTGGGCATAGTGTTGGCCACAGCTGGGTCCTCTGGGGGGCTGGTGACATTCTCGGAGCAGCTGCCCTGGCCCCAGACCTCAGGCTCTTCGGAGAGGCTGTCGTTCTGGGAGTGAGGAGGGGATCTCCTATTTGGAATCCCACACAGGTTCCTCCTCACTGCTGAAGTTCTCTGGAACACTCAGTGCTTTGATGCTGGGTGGGAGCATCCTGTTCTTACGCCTTACACCCACACAGGCGGATCCATTCGTCCATGGGTCCTTTCCCTCTCTCCCTATCCCTTCTTGCAGTGTGAGCACACTGTGTGCGCCCAGCACTTCCCTGCGTGTGCCTACACCTGCTCTGATTTCATCCCCACAGCGCCAGGAGCTGGGGGCCGGTGCTCCCTACTGCTCAGAGCGGGAAACTGAGGCACAGAGAGTTAGAACGACTTGATCTGCCTCTCATAACTGGTGTGATAGTGAAAGTGCAAGGCCCTACATTTAAAAAAAAAATTGAGACAGTGCAAGTGGGAGGGGGCAGAGAGAGAGAGATCCAGAATCCAAAGCAAGCTCCAGGCTCTGAGCTGTCAGCACAGAGCCTGCCGTGGGGCTTGAACCCATGAACTGCAAGATCATGACTTGAGCTGAAGTCGGACGCTCAACTGGCTGAGCCACCCAGGTGCCCCAGTAAGGCCCCACATTTAAACATAAACCCCCAAACCCCACGGCTGTACGCTCACCACCGCCTATTTTATTAGTAAGCCTGGATGAGCTTTCTTTTTTTTTTTTTAATATTTTTATTTTATTTCTAGGAGAGAGAGAGAGAGAGACAGCGTGAGCAGGGGAGGGTCAGAGAGAGAGGGAGATACAGACTCTGAAATAGGCTCCAGGCTCTGAGCTGGCAGTCAGCACAGAGCCCGACGTGGGGCTCGACCCCACGAACCGCAAGATCATGACCTAAGCGAAAGCCGGACTCTTAACCGACTAAGCCACCCAGGCGCCCCAAGCCTGGATGAGCTTTCTAAGGCCTTAAAAAAAAACCTGGTCTGGCGGCCCACTTCTGACAGATTTGCTTTATTTGTTTAAGATTGGCATCTCAGCTCCTTCCTTGAGGAAGGATTCAAAGCAGCGGCCAGAGAAATTGCCCTGGGAGAGAAGACGTTTCCAGGATAGAGTGGAAGGCTTAGATGCACTCAGGGCCCAGCTTCGGTTAGTTTACCGCACTTGAACCAAGCACGGGAATCTTGTTTTCTGGCCGCTGAGGGATGAAGGTGCCCTATCCTTCCTCCCATGCGAGGGCTCTTTTCTGTGTAGCGTGCCCGCCGGTGAGGCATCTGTCCAGGGCGGCACTGGGTCTCTCTTGCAGGCGGAGGACAGGACGTGTGGGGACTTCCAGGACGAGGGCCACTACTTGTCCTCCCCCAATAACTCCTTCAGCCCCTTTGATGGAGCCCTCACCACCACCGCCTCCTCCCTCTTCATCGACAGCCTCACCACCGAAGGTAAGGCCCGACCCCCAGGCGGGGAAAGAAGCCATGGGGAAGGGCTACCGCCCCGGGGCATCTCAGCTGCTCCTGCCAGGGATTAGCTCAGCCAAGACGAATCACCCTGACTTTCTCAGATGAGGGACCTGAGGCTCAGGGAGCTGGGCTCACTTGCTGGGCAGAGGCAGAGCCAGGTTTCGAACAAGCGGACTCCATGCCCACACTCCATACCCACTGTGCTGGCGCACATCAGGACTGTGGGATGGAATTCACCGCGGCGAGGGGAAAATTACGGTCCCGGCCCCGCACCAGGTATTTTATATATAGTACACCTTACACTTCACACCTCAGCTCCTCTCGGGAGCACTGCTCACAGAACTCCTGAGGTCTTGTCACCCCTGCAGCAGCTGTGAACTCAGGCCGCACACTCAGACGTGAGCGAAAGATTGCCGAATTTCTCTCCCGTGGTGCTTCTGGCTCTGAACCCTCGCTTGGTCGGAGTGGCAGACTTCAGCTGTTCTGGGGCTTGGCTTCCTGCTCCTGCGACTTTGTGTGGACAGAGGGTCAGAGTGGGGCAGCTGTGTCCCAGAGGATTGCTGGTGACCCATGCCTGCCTCTTCAGGGTCTGGCTGTCCCCGGGGACTTCTGCCGTCCTCAGGCCTGAGGGTCTTGAAGCTTCCAGAAGTGCCACAGAGCATCTGGGGAAGCCTTGTGCAAGCCCCTCCGGGATTCTTTGGCCACCACCGAAAAACTCCTCCCTCCTCTTTTTTCAGTACATCACGTCTAGGGTGTAGCCCTTTTTCCTTAGCTCCAACTGAAAGATGTGGGCTCTTACCGCCTCCACGGAGCCACATAAAAGGAAAAGGACAAATGGAAAAGAGGAAAGGAGAAAAGAAAGAGCCAAATGTTTTAAAGCATTTTTCAGCCACAGTCCCATTTTGTGGATGTGGAAAAGGGCCCGTAGGGCAAGGTCGGTTGTTCAGGGTTACGTGAAAGGTGAGTGGTGGATTGGTCTTTCCCTGGTGCGCCTGCTTTCTAACTGCAGCCTGGAGAACTGAAGAGCCAGACACGTGGATCTGGCCAGAGGGGAGTCCTAGAGGAAAGGGAAGAAAATGATAGGCGATCTAACATGTCGAGGGGCCTGACCATGTGCCAGGTAGGGTGCTAACGCTGTGCAGGCATGAATACTCACTCGGTCCTTCTAACAATCCTATTAAGCGTTAATGATGTTGTATCCCCATGTTATAGAAGAAACACTAAGATTCAGGGAGGTCAGTGACTTGCTCAGGGTCACACGGCCAGGAAGAGGTGGAGACAGGTCTCATTCAGCTCCAAAGCAGCAGTCTTGCCCCTCGACTGCTTTTCTTGGTGCTGAACAAAAGGATGTCTGAAAGGTCTTTGTGGATTTCAGGGGGCTGAAGAAATATAGCAAAGGATGAACGAGCAAGGCAGATCGGGTGACTCCCATGACTCTAAAGTTGCCCGGAGGGAGCTGGGTAAGACGCAGGCGTTGAGAGAAACACCTGGCTGCTGCCGGGGGGCGGGGGGGGGGGGGGGGGGGGGGGGGGTAGGNTGTTAGGTGTATTAAATGAAAAAGGAAAAGGAAGAAATGGGTTGCCCTCAGGAAGTTTCGATCCTGTCCAGGAGTTGGAGTCTATCTTGGGGTACAAGGAGATGTGAACGAAAGGGATACAGCCAAAGGGACCCACCTGGGGCAGCGCAGAGACGGGGAAGCAGAGGCGTTAGTGGGAGCAGGGCTGCTGGAGGGTGCGGAGACCCCTCTGGCACCAGCCAGGCACAGGAGCAGAGAGGGCCGGGGGGCGGGAGGTGTGGGGGCTGGATTTGCTTGCAATCAAACATCACTCATCGAAGTGAACCAGAAGGACCTCTGAGTCGCAAGCAGCTGCTTCGGATTCTGTGTCTCCACCTCTCTCTGCCTCTCCCCAGCTCATGCTCTAGTCTCTGTCCTCTGTCTCTCTCAAAAATAAATAAACATGAAATATTTTTAATAAAAAGTTTAAAATTAAAAAACAACAACAAAATTAATGCCAAAAATTACACAATGAACAACATATCAAAACTTCACATAAAGACAGAATGGGACCCTCCTTCACTGTGTGAGCGAATCCCAGGCTTACAGAGGGCATTTCCAAGGTGGGACTTTTGAAAGAGGAATAGTGAAGGGGAGGAAGGGTATCCCCTGTAGGAGGAACAGCTGATGCAGTGGCTCAGAGGTCTGAGAGGTCTCCAAGGTCTGGGAAGCCTTGGGCAGCTCGTTACGGCCACTGCCATGGCATTGAGTTATGGTGAAAGACAAGAGGAAAGAAGGGAGGGGACAGATTGTAAAGAGCCTTGAACATCTGTGAGCAAAGGGGAGCCAGTAAAAGCTTCTATTTTATTTTTTTTAAGTTTATTTCTTTTCAGGGACGCCTGGGTGGCTTAGTCGGTTAAGCGTCCGACTTTCGCTTAGGTCATGATCTCGCGGTTCGTGGGTTCGAGCCCCACGTCGGGCTCTGTGCTGACTGCCAGCTCAGAGCCTGGAGCCTATGTCAGAGTCTGTATCTCCCTCTCTCTCTGACCCTCCTCTGCTCACGCTGTCTCTCTCTCTCTCTTTCTCTCCTAGAAATAAATAAAAATATTTTTAAAAAAATAAAAAAAAGTTTATTTCCTTTCAGAGAGAGAGAGAGAGAACAGAGGAGGGGCAGAGAGAGAGGGAGAGAGAGAATCCTAAGCAGGTTTTGCACGATCAGCACAGACTCTGATGCAGGACTTGAACTCAGGAACCTCGAGATCATGACCTGAGCCAAAATCAAGAGTCCGATGCTTAACCCACTGAGCCTCCTAGACGCCCCCCAGTAAAAACCTTTAAAACGACATGGGCAATGGAGGCGCAGGAGGGGGAAGAGGAGTGAGATGTACGTTATAGGCCATACACTGCGGATTATTCAGTTTGTTTCACGTTTCGGTGCTTCAAGCAGTAATCCTCAGTCCTCTAGAGCATTCTCCTGCTGTGCAAGTCTTGTTTCCTCTCCTCAGAGGAATCTTTGGGGAAGAACGGTCAACCATCGGAACTTATGTAGGAAACCATAGGACATACACCTTGTGGTGTAGAAAGGGTGATGGCATGAAATCTGTCCTTCAAGTTGTGCATGGGGAGGGGTGTGGTCTTCAAGCAGATCTGAACTTGTGACGCACCCCTTCCTCAGCTTCCCGGTGTCCCATAGGAGAAGGAGAACGTGACAAGTCCTCACCCTGGCTTTGCAGGCAGCCACCCCCCCCCCACCCCCAGCCTTATCTCGTACCGTCTCCACCCTTCAGTGACACTGCACTGCTTTTTATTTTGCTGACTCTGGGCCTTTGCTCATGCTCTTTTCTCTGCCTGGAACCCTTTTTCCCCAGCGCCACCTCTCACCCCTCCATCTTGACATCCTGTGTCTGGATGAGGCCCCCAGTCAGAGATTCATTATGCTGGGTTTTAATTGTCACTCCATCACTCCCGCTTGCTAACTCCCTGAGGGCAGAGAGCGTGTCTATCGCCAGTGCCCATTCCCAGTGCTCACCTCAGTAGTAGCATCCAATAAATACTTAATATGCTTGGATAAATGAACACAAGACTAGGAAAAGTCGGCTTGTTCATGGACTTTTCTCATTACACTGCTGTGTGACTTTAAGCAAGTCACCTCCCCTCTCTGTGCTTCCGTTTCTTTGCCTCTAAAATGAGGGCGTAGGGGTGCATGGCTGGCTTAGTCGGTAGAGCATGCGACTCTTCATTTCAGGGTTGTGGGTTTGAGCCCCACCTTGGGTGCAGAGATTACTTAAAAATAAAATCTTAAAAAAAAATTAAATGACGGGTTGGACTAAACCTCCTTAAGGTCGCATCTGGACCTAAATAATCCCACTAATCGTATGCCTTCTCTCCTTCTCTTTAAAGATGACACCAAGTTGAATCCCTATGCAGGAGGAGATGGTGAGTACTGAGCTGCTTCCGCTCTTGGTCAGACTCCCTGCCCCTTGAACTGGCCCTCACCCCCACTCCTGCACAGAAGAGGGTGCATCGGTCACCTGGCCTCTTTGCTTCTGTTCTGAGGTGGGGAGGAGGGGAGCAGCAGCAGCCTGAGCTTTCCGGACCTCCTGCTGGGCTCCTGGGCAGGGGCTGCTTGATTGAATCAGTGTATCTAGACACTTCTCATCAGCCCGGAAACTCCTATAGACCTGTCTTGAATACTCACTTCCCTGAAAGCGAGGAGAGGAGAGAAAGGCTGAGCTAGAGCAGGCATGGCAGCGCGGGGCCCCTTGTCCCCATGGGCCTCATGGTCAATGAGGGCTGGACGGCAGCTCCCACCAGAGGTGACGCCATTACTGCTCTGTGGGCATCGGGTGTGAGTGTGCATTGTGTGTCTGGCAGGGGGGACTGGGCCACATTCCCCTCGCCCTGCACCATGCATTCATCAGCCCAAACCCTGACCATCAGATCACCAGGGTCACTTTGGACTACGGGCTGCCTGCCAGGGCAGGGGAGGCTAGCTTGGGGCGTGTCACCTCAACTGTCCCACCTATTGGCGGAGAGTGGCACTAACCATGCATTGGAGTACCCCGGGACCATTTCTTTACTTGGGTTTCCTCCGCTTGCAGGGAAGAGGGGTTGGGGAAGACAATGATTGGGATGCACGCACCATCTCATGAAAAATCCCCACTTCCTGTAAATTCTCATTCCGCCCACAAGCTATGTAAAAAGGATTTGAGGGGCGCCCTGGTGGCTTAGTCAATTACGCGTTCCGACCCTTGATCTCAGCTCAGGTCTTGATCTCAGGGTCGTAAGTTCGAGCCCTGTGTTGGACTCCATAGTGAGTATGGAGCCTACTTAAAAAAAGAAAAAGGATCGTTTGCTATTTCTTTTGCTTATGTGCTCATAGTTCTTTTTTTACTTCATTATCTCCACATCCCTTTAGGGTAGGGAGCAGAAACAAGTAGCCACCCCGAGTAATAAGGGAACATAGGCTTCCTAGTGGTTGACTTGACTGTGTCCTTGGGCAAATCACTTTACCTCTCTGTATTTCCGTTACCTCAGCCGTACAAGAAAGGGGTTGGACTAGATGACATTCCAGCTTGATTGTCTACGGCAATACTCAGGCTGCTCCTTGGGATGCATTTGAAATGCTCAGGGCATTCTCAGAGATTGCCAGCTGGTATATTAGCCCTCAGAGGACCCGGTTCATTCTTCTATTGAGCTCCCACCATGGGGCCCACCATTTTTTTCTAAGAGCCAAGGACACAAAGATGAATATGACACTGTCCTTGCCCTCCAGGAAGCCACAGTCTGGTAGTGGACAGTGACAGGTGAAAATATGGTCATGTTGTTATTATAATGGTTAACACTGAGGTCATCTAAGATACCAGCCCTGGTCTTTTGCAGTTGACGTGAACTATCTGATTTTGACCCTTACAATGACCCTATCAGGTAGCCATTATTATCCTTCTACAGAAGTGGTAAGTGAGACACGGAGAGGTTATATAATTTGCCCAAGGTCATGCAGCTAGTGAGTTAGCACAGCCTGGATTTGAACGAGGCAGCCATAACTCCAGATCTGAAACTCGTCACCATCTCCTATCCTTTGAGAATTCCTTAAAAGCACTTGTGGCACGAGTACTAGAGAAAACTTCTCTTGTGCTCCTTTTTAGGAATTTGGGCAACTTTTAGGTGATTTTGGAAAACCGCCTGAACCATGCCGAGGGCAACGTAAATGCCATGCTCATGACTCCACTCCCTCCCCACCTTCTTACGTATTTCACAAGCAGATCCCGAGATTCTGCTGGATTTCGTCTCTGAGATTTTGTCCGAACCTGGGGCTTCATGGCCCCGCCTTCCTTGTTCCCCTGTAGCCCCTCCCTGCCCTAATGGTCTCTTCACAGGCCTTCAGAACAACCTGTCCCCCAAGACAAAGGGCCCCCCAGTGCACCTGGGCACCATCGTGGGCATCGTGCTGGCCGTCCTCCTGGTGGCAGCCATCATCCTGGCTGGGATTTACATCAATGGCCACCCCACCTCCAATGCTGCGCTTTTCTTCATCGAGGTCAGTGCTGAATTTGGCCACAGCCCTGCTGTCTATCTGCTTCTGTGTCAGTGTTTCCCCGGTCACTGAACACCTGCCTCTCCCCACCTCATCCCTCACCCCGCACACCCAACTCCTGTTCCCATCTGAGGAAACTTCATCGACTCCGGCCTGGCGCACCGTGCACTGGCTGGTGCCCTTTTAGTCCCTAACTCCGAGGGCTCCCCCAGGAGTGTGGCACCCCTCTTGTCCCGTTGAACAGCCCCTCTGCATTTGCTCCCCCATTTGGGAAATCAGAAGAGCCCCCAGAGGAAAGAAAGAGAAATCGCTAGGGATTGTACAGCTCATCCTTAATGATTTGTGGTGTCTCACCCCATATTCCAGGCCTGGTGCTTATTCAAAGCCATAACAGAACCGGGATCTCTGCCTCTTTGCCTGCTGGGGTGGGGGGAGCGGGGTTAGATTAGAATTGACAAGGCATGATAATCCTAAGGGTCTCTGGGAGCTTTCATTGAGGATGCTGTGGTTTGGAATGTCTCAGAATTCAGAAAAACCAGCTCAAAGAGCAGCTTGGGAAGTAAAGGCCGTCCCCCTTCTCTCTGGGCCACAAGGGATTAAGCAGCTCCGCCCCTGTCCTCCAATCTCAGTCCCTCACAGCTCTGCCTGTGGTCCATTAGTGCTGCCTCTGTGCCCACAGTCTCCCCCACAGAGGTCACAAGCCCAGTGACCTCATCAATCAGAGGCGCAGGTGGTATCTTCCTCTTTATCTAGAAGCCCCTTTCTTGTAAGCCCTAACCGGTCAGACTTAAGTATCTGCAGGTCCCCAGCCCCAGGGATGTTGATGGAGCAGGTCTGAAGGGGGCCCAGGAATCTGCATGCTTACTCCCCAGCTGACTCTGCTGCAGGGCCTGTCCTGTCGTGGCTTTTCCAGAACCTCCCAGATCATTCCATCTTTTGCCTACTGCCTCACTTTTCAGTCTCAGGGCTCCGCGCAGTATGTTGCTAAGGCTCTTACAGTCCTGCAGTCCATGCCGTGAGTGGTAAAATGACCTCCTCCCAAACTCCTCAGGATCCCAGGAAGCTTTCCTCCCAGCACTTGATGGGTCACAGTGGGGAGGCTTCTGGGGAGGAGGGCCCTGAATTCCATCCGGCTCCCACTAGGCTCCCAGGGCCCTTGTGAAAAGAATTTCGGTGCTCAGCACTGCCTCTGGGGATGCGGAGGGGCCCCAGGTGGGTGAGGCCGTGCCTGCTGACTTCTGCATCTGTACCCCTCCCCCCACAGCGGAGACCTCACCACTGGCCGGCTGTGAAATTCCGCAACCACCCCAACCATGCCACCTACACGGAGGTCGAGCCCTCGGGCCACGAGAAGGAGGGCTTCGTGGAGGCTGAGCAGTGCTGAGGGCCCCAGGTCTCCTATTGAAAGGATAGGAAAGAAGACCCCCGGGACCCCGGAAAAGACCAGTCAAAGCAAAGCAGAGAAGTAACTTTCTTTGGCTTCCTCTGAACATTTCCTGGCTGGGAAGACGAAGATGAGTCGGTGGCTTGTGGTGACAGAGCCATGGTTTGACCGTCACATACCATATACTGAAGCAGGGGACAGAAAAGCAACCACGTGAGGTTTTTAAGGGATGATAACCTAAGTTCATCCTGTTTTGATGTAAGGGGTCTCTCTCCCCTTCTGTGTCTCTCAATGGTCTCCTCGGGTAGTACTGCCCCAGAGGCCCCTCCCACCTGGAGATGGCCAGATACCCTGCTCCGGTCCCCTAATGCCCCTCCATGTGACACAGAGACCAAGACTCTAGATGGGGGCGGCCCCATTCCAGGGTCCATAGACTCCAGAGCTGGTCCTCATGGCTATGGATTCAGTGTATTTAGCCCCAGCCTCTGTGGTTCTGGAAGTCTGAAGTTCTATCCATTCGTTAAGCACAGGTACAGCTTTGCATGGGAGGTTGTGATCAGAGGAAAGCCAAAGGGGAGGAGACAAAAGAACTGGTGGGGAAAGTTGCATTTACTCTCTCTCGACTTATCCTTTCTGCTGGCAGCCACTCCTTCTGCAGCGAACGTGCGTGCAGCCTGCGTCGTGGGCTTTACCCCAACCGCGGCCCAGCCTTGGCCTGGTGAGCTGTGCTGTGCGTGGCCACATCCACGGTGTGGGGCTCTTGATTCCAATGGCACGTTCGGTGGCCATTGAAGTCATGGCCTGGCCTGTCAGCGCCAGCAAGTACCTTCAAAGGCAGGGCCTGACAGACTAATCCTTTTCTTCCTCTGAGCTGAATGTTTCTAGCCACTAAAGAGACGAAACAGGATGGCTTCTTGGAGACCTACTTGGCAGGAACCTCGGCTGGGTTCTGTAGAGGAGCAAAGCGGCCGGAATGGAAGCTGGCATGGGCAGGAGGGACTTTCCACGCAACCTTGACCTGGAAAGGGGCTTCCATCTTTCCAGCTCTGGTGGAATCTTTTGGAGCAAAGAGCTAGGCTCTCAAACTTCACCTGGCTTTAAGGGACTTCTGTCCCAGGGATGAGTTGAGGCTGCTTCCTGAAGAGCCTTTAACCTTAAAATCTATAGCTCAACCTCATTGAAAGTAAAGAATAGCAGCAGCAAATAAATGTCAAATCAGTCTCCTCGTCACCCATGCTCTTTTATGCACATCACGCCACACCCTTTTGCGCATCACCGTGTCACTGGGTCACTGGGGGTGACCTCCTAGGTGGGGGTAGGGAGTCTGCCAATAACCAGACACATGCGAACACTTGACCCAATGTTTACCAGACGCTTCGTGATTTATCCTCTGTGAGGCCGCTATTGACAATCCAAGTGGGGAAAATGCTGGAGATATCTATATATCTATATAGATATATTTTTCTCCACAAACCAGACAAGGAAGAACTAGGGAGAGGCTCAGAATCTGAGAAAGAAAAAAAGACACTGCAAGCAAGAGAATAGGGGTCCTTTCCAAGCTTCTGAAGGACAGAAAGGTCTGTAACTGAGCTCTCTTAATGAGAGAAGAGCAGCCAGCCGCTAAAATGAGCCGGGCTCCCGGCCACTCCCGGCCAGCAGGAGGGTGATTTTCACCTTTGCCTGTCTAGCAAAGCATCTATGACCTTTATGTGTCTAAAAAAGCCAGTGGGGCAGTTTTCCCTGTTTCCCACTGTTGTGGCCCAGTGCAGGGCACAGCACCATTTGCCCCCCTCCCAAACTCCAGCAAGCTTCTTCCCAAGCAGGAGCTCTGCCCACTGTTCAGGATTCCTGAAGGGAAAGACTATGGAGAGTGAAGAAAGGCGTGGGGATTCAGTGAGGCCTGTGCCGTAACCCCATCCCCACTCCAGGTGGAGAAAGCCTGTGTTGACAGTGGCGACCACAGCAGAGCCGCTTGGCAGCAGGTGGAGGAAAGACGTGTCACAAGGAGAGGGCCCTGGACATGAAGGGTCAACACGCGTAGCCAATGCTTGAGTTACAGAGGTGGGCATCTCAGTTAACGCTAGTTCCCAGCTACCCTTAAGATCTGTGACAAGAGCAGCATTTCTTAGGCACGGGAGTTGTACTCCAAGGTAGAGCAGGTTAGCGGGGGCGCTAGGGAAAGGCTCACTTGGAGAATGAGTGGCCAGAAGGAGACACAGGGTCTTGTGGTCAACCCCCATGTTTGGCTGACAGTCCAGCAAGGCACGATCAACATGTGCATGATCACACGTTTGCACGATCAACCACAGAGGGCTTGCAGACTTCTGGGACCTTCTGCCCCACCGGCAGATAGTCTCCAAGGTCATTGGCAGGTACCTTTTCCTACATGGTGCCTTTGGGTGTCCTCACCATGATCTCACTGAGGGGCAGGAGGGCAGGATCCGTGGACAGGAAGCCACAGCGACAGGAAATTTCAACCCTGTGCAGCGGGGCTCTGGGAAGCTGTCTGTGTTGTGCCCAGAAATCGGAAGTTCTCAGGGAAGCTCTGTTTTACACCAGAACTCTTAAGAGAGCCAGTGTGGGTAAGAAGAGGGACGCAGAGGCTGGGTATGAGACGGGCCCTGCGTCAGGCTGACAGCACCACCCCCACTCCTCCAATCTGCGGCCTCCAGATGTGTGGGCTTGTCCGGGAAGATCCTGGGGATTTGGATTCTAGAACATGAGCACATACAAGGTGAGCCCGTTATCAACCCCAGCACCAGGAATGCCCCAGGTATTGCAGACGGGTTTCCAAACTCGAATGACTGGCCACCTCCCTCCCACTAGAATCAAGTGCCACTCGCCCACACCAGCAGGTCTGCCATGACACTAGAGGCCACTTCTTCATATCTCAGCCTGGAGCACGAGGTTCAGAATGTTCTTTTGTCACCATCAGGAGCCCTCTATGGGCCGCTAGAAGTAAGTTTTTAAATTTGTGCATCTTATCAGGGCTCTTCTGTGTAAAGTATCCCTGTGTGTGTATATATTTAGGCATGCATACATGCAAGTGCACACACATGTACATTTTGTTGTTAAAAACATTGGATGGAGCCATAGCTGTGCTCAGGCTTAAGACAGGAGCAAAAGCTGGGACACCTGGGTGGCTCAGTTGGTTAAGCTTCCAACTTTGGCTCAGATCATGATCTCACGGTTCATGAGTTCGAGCCCCTCATCCAGCCCTGCTCTGACACCTCAGAGCCTGGAGCCTGCTTGGGATTCTGTGTCTTCCTTTCTCTCTCCGCCCCTCCCCCACTTGTGCTCTATCAAAAATAAATAAAACATTAAAAAATTTTTTTTTAATTTTTTTTAATGTTTTATTTATTTCTAGGAGAGAGAGAGAGAGAGACAGCGTGAGCAGGGGAGGGTCAGAGAGAGAGGGAGTCACAGACTAAAACAGGCTCCAGGCTCTGAGCTGGCAGTCAGCACAGAGCCCGACGCGGGGCTCGAACCCACGAACCGTGAGATCATGACCCAAGCGAAAGTCAGACGCTTAACCGTCTAAGCCACCCAGGCGCCCCTAAAAAAAATTTTTTTAAAGGCAGTGGCAAAAGCCACCAGCCAACCACACTATTTGACAAGCGGAGTGTCCAACACTTGAACTGACCACTCATCTGGTTGTGGGCAAGGCTAAGACTCTCTTTTCCCAGTCCGGGAAAAGATAACAGATTTGCACAGAGCACTGATCAATTAGGGGCTGCGCTCAGGCTCCCTGGCCTCGGGAACCCACACCTGAGAAAGTCACAGATCAAATGCAGCCAACCTCTCTCTCTTGCTCTCTTTCTCTCCCCCCCCACCCCCTTTATCCCCTGCCCCACCTTGCAACCAAAAAACTACCTGATCTTACACTCAGTGTTAATAATAAAAAAGCAACTTTCTTCTATGACTTCTGCTGGGTGCAAAATAAGGTGCCAAGAATTTTGAGTGCATCCTGCAAACCGCTGCTCTTGCCAAAGTTCCTGCGCTAAGGAGCAGAGGTGCCGCCTCCAGTGACCTGCCCATCAGGGGTACCTCTCCTACCCCTCACCCCACCCCCAACCCTACTTCCGGGAGAAACAGTCTAGAAAGAGATCCCAGCTATTGGTTTATTTGGGGTATGTGGGTTTCCCCTTGTGGGTTTTTAATCTCCTATCTAGAGATGCAAAATAAATCTGCAGAAGATGAGGCTGCCGAATTTCTGGACGCTTTCCAGTCAGAACACTTGAGCGGCCTCGGTGTGTTATCACTTTGCGTTTTTTGTTCACAAAACACCGTTAGGCAAACCAAAACAAAGAGAGGAAAAATTTGAACTCCTCGCGGTCAAAATCAGCGACGCCAAATTTCAGGCTCCAAACGAGCTGATTTATAAATAAACATGCCACGTTTGCCAAGTAAGGAGGACTGAGTTGGAGAAGGGCAGCAAAGGCTGGTGGTGAAAAAACAGCCGCTACGGCAGCTGGTCAGAAGGTGGGAGTTATAGCCCCAGGCTTGTCCCTGAGAAGCTGTGTGATGTGGGCCAAGTCACCCGACTTCTCTGGGCAGGGATATGCTCCTCTTCTTAGCAAACAGCTTCACCTGCTTCTACCCCTCACGCCCCCACCCCCCACCCCAATGCCTGCCCTTCCACACAGCACCTCAGACCCAAGCAGCCCTTCCTTTTCCATTCTCCTGGTAAGGTTACCAACTTGTTCTAGTTGGCCTGGGACCTTCTTGGTTCTAACACTGACAGTCCTATGTCACAGGAAACCCCTTAAGGACTAACACACTGGATCAGTTGGTTAGTCTAGCCTTAGAGTCTATCTAGACGCCATAGGCTGAAAAGATAAGGTTAACCATTTCAAGGACTTTGGGGAGGGGGGGTTCTGGCTGGCTCAGTTGGTAAAGCATGCAACCCTTGACTTCAGGGTTCTGAGTTCAAGCCCCACATTGGGTGTGGTCTACTTAAAAAATAAAAAGCAGGGGCGCCTAGGTGGCTCAGTCAGTTAAGCATCTGATTTTGGCTCAGGTCATGATCTCGTGGTTTGTGAGTTCAAGCCCCGTGTCAGGCTCTGTGCTGACAGTCCGGAGCCCGGAGCCCACTTCAGATTCTGTGTCTCCCTCTCATTGCCCTCCCGCACTGTCTCTCTCAAAGTAATAAATAAACATTAAAAGCTCTTTTTAAAAAAGTAGAGACAAATTTTTCAAAGACTTTAGAGTCTTGGACCTAGCTCCTCCAAGTGTGGTGTCTATAGGTATCCCTTAAGGATTAGCTGGAAATGCAGAAGTCAGGCCCCCCCAGCCCAGACTTACTGAGTCAGAATCTGAGTTTGAGGAGCTCCCCAAGGGGACTCATGTGAAACTCAAGAAAGTTTAGGAAGCACTTCCAGGAAGCAATCTTACCTACAGGATCCCAGCCCACTGGGGAGACATTATTCCCCCATTTCCTAGATGAGGAAACTGAGGTTCAGACAGGTGGTTTACTTGTTTATTTATTAATTTGATTCATACTCACTAAGCACCTACCGTGTGGCACCTACCATTAAGTGACTCGCCCAAGGTCACATAGCTAGGAAGTAGCTGAGACAATCTCCAAACCCAGGACTTTAGATTCCCATCTGGGGTTGTTGCCTGCGTACCACAGGGCGGCACCAGAACCACACAGCCACAGTTCAGTTTAGAAGCTGACTGGGGCGTAAACAGAATCCTCCCAGGCTTCTAGAGATCCTCAAAAAGATGCATAACAATGACTTCAGACACTCATCCTTGGCTCCTGGAACCTGAGCTTATCAGGTATTTATTTCCACAGTTCCAAGAGCTTGAAAATCCTCATTGCTGCTGCCTCCTCCGCATCCGCTCCCCCACTGGGAGACCCTCTCACAAGATTTGGAAGCACTTTCCACAAGGCTTTACAAACCAGGGCCACGCCTCTGTGCTATTTTTCTTCTTGAATGGAGGACAATTGATTACTTCATTTGCCACAATGGGGCTGGAGAGAAGGGAGGCGGGAAGCGGGAGTCCTCACTTGAACTGCTAAAGCCAAAGAGAAAGCCTTTGGGGGACGATTTTTCTGACGTTCATAAGGCATTTTTACATCTGGTCCCGCGAGATAGCTAAATCATGCCCACAGTTTTCCATAAAGTTAAAAGCACTGAAAGAGAAATATCTGAATATAGGCCAATAACATTTCATCATTCATTCCCCATCGTACGATCCAACCTTCTCTTCCAGCTTCAGTC